GTACTCCACATGTTGATGTAGTGAAACGAGATCGCTTGAAATTAAAAGACTCATGGTCATGCGCCCGTCGTTCGTTGAACTTTCGGTTTCCAATCATCACAAACATGCATGATATAGGGTAGGTGAATTTTGCACTGTGCTGCAAACTGTCTTGATAAATGAAGTGGTGAAGCCACGGTGCTGGGTTTGCAGCTGTTGCGTTTACAACCGCATCACGACCAGGAAGTGACGTGCGCACAAGATAGGAAGAGTTGCACAGAGAGGTTGGGCAGAGCACATGTTTGTCGTCTTTTGGGTTGTAGTTCGGAATACTCTATAACTGAACCTGCTGTTATTTATGGTCAAGCTTACTGTTTCATGCGATGTATGTGTAGACACGCGGAATACTTTTTCTGTTGTCTAGATCTGTTCATTATCTTTATCCCTTTTAATAGGCTTACCCCGTATACTTCTTACACATTCTTGATTATCTCGTGAGCCAAACAGTAGTCGACGACGTATATTCTGCAGTCTAATGTGATTGTAGTAGTTTACCTTGTGTATGCATCACGACGAGACTGCACATTGGCTGATGGCTTGCGTGACTCCATGACCCTGCGAGCCATACAGGATGGCTTTTCACAGCCGTAGATCCAATCATGCCTGAAAGGTCAACGGGTAGAGGCCAGACAAAGCTCAGTCTCACAAAGCCAGCTGCTTGGGCGCCTCCTGGCTTCCATTAACTATCCACTCCAGCCCCTGAAGAGGTCACTCCAGCAAATAAACACGATGAGGGGCAGTTTACCGGTCAAAAAACCCACTGCATGAACGTAAAGTGAGGTACCTGGGGCTTCCTCTTGACGGTGGGAGAAGTCTTCGCACTTCATTGGACAGCCATCTAAAATCAAGGATGAATTCTACAAGGATCTTTCTCAATTACTCCAAAGTGTTCGATCAACGGACGTCATAGTTTTCGCCGGAGACTTTAATGTTCAAGTGGGTTCCCTGAACGGATCAGGAAAGCTTCTTGTCGGACCACATGCAATCCCAGCCGTCCGTCCGGACAACGGAGATCGTCTACTTCAACTATGCGCGGACCACGGATTGTTCTTGTCAAACACGAACTTCGCACACAAGAAACGTCACCATCTTACATGGAAACCGGCAACCTCTTCACAACGCTGGACCCAGATCGACTACATCACCATCAGTTACCGCTGGAGGGGATCAATTCAAGACTGCCGCTCTTACTGGTTATCACCTGTGGATACATACCACACCTTGGTACGAGCCAAATTCTCCGTTCGCCTGGCAACCAACCGCAGAAGAGCCGTCGACAACGCATACCTACGATACGGCGTCCGCGATGGCTGCAAATCGGCCTTCGAAGCGGAGTTCTCCGATCGCCTCTCAATTCAACCACCAGACGAAGGATTCAATGAACACGAAGCAAATCAGGGAAGCTATACAAATATCATTAAAAACAACTTCGGGCCCTGGTGCAGGTTCAAAACACACGACGGATCTCGTCGACCTCGGCTACCCTGCTGGACACCCGCAGAATCCTGCCTCCGTATGCCACATATGACACAGCGCGCAAATCCCTTAAACGCCAGCTCATCAAGAGTAAGGAATGACCGCGAGAAGTGTAGAGAGATGGAGAATGCTGCGGCTATCGACAATAGTCGCAATCTTTTCCGTCTGATTAGTAATACAGGCCCCAGAGAAGTAGTTGTGAGTGAGGTAATTAAGGAATCCAATGGGACACGATCAACAACGCCATCTTGATCGATGGGCTGAACGCTTCATGGCCGCCATGGGAAATTCCCCTAAGCTGTTCCATCTTATCCTAGTCACCAATAGAGAATCCTTGGGTGTGAGCGAGACGATCTATGAAGCTGACGGCTCGCTTATTCACAATCAACAGCGCTGGGCGGAGCACTTCAATGCACAATTTAGCTGGCCACTCGCGCCAGCTTCTCACACAGCTATTCCGGCACACGTCTCATAGTCTGTTTCAACAGACCCACCTTGTGAGGAGGAAATCCGTAAGGTGATCCAAGCCTTGAAACGTCACAAAGCGCCGGGCTTCGATAGGCTCCCTCCAGCTCTTTAAAGATAGTGGAATAAAGCTTGTTGGAGAACTCCACGTCCTGTTCTCAAGTTCGGAACACTGAGCCAGTCGATTGTCGTCCCCATCTTTAAAACGGGTCCGCGCAATGGTTGCACCACTCATAGGTGTGTAAGCCTGATCTCAATAGCGTCAAAGCTATTAGCTTCCGTCATTCTTCGAGGAACATACCCGTCAGGAGCAGGCTGGGTTTCTTGCCGGTCGTGGATGGATCGATGAAATCTTTACCCTCTGACAGTTGCTTGAGCACCGTCATGCTGACCGTAGACCAGCGATCATTATGTTCTTAGAAATTCGCGCGGCCTTCAATTCTGTTGATAGAACCGCACTATGGGGTGTTTATTGATAAATGGAGTACCAGAGAAGTATGTGTCGATCCACAAGGAGTTGTATCGCATACCACAGGTCGGGTTAGGGCTTATGGCCAGCTTTCACAGCCTTTCGTCTTCTCCAGTGGAGTTCGACAAGGCTGCCCTATATCCCCTTTTCTTTTCAACTTCACCATAGAGAATGTTCTGCAGGACGGTCTAGCAGATAAGGAAACGGAGTCCTTGACTTGCCGATGAGTTTGCCTTGCTGGGTGACAACATATAAGCAGTCCAACAAGCTTTACATCACTTGGCGGTAAAGGTGTCCAAGTATGGAATGTGCTTTGCACCATCAAAGTGCTGGTTCAAGACTGGCAGGACCCTGTACCTGCACTCACCCTCTGTGGTGATCAGCTGGAACTGTTCGAGAGCTTTAAGTACCTCAGGAACTTAGTCACAGCTGGAGGTGGGATTGGGAAAGAGATCACATCACGAATAGCGAAAGATAAAGCAGCTTTCGCCAACCTGCAACATCTGTGGCGCCACCGTGACATCCGACTGTCTCTTAAGAGAAGGGTGTACATCACCGCCGCCCATAGTATTCTGCTTTACGGCTGCGAGACCTGGCCTCGCCGTGCGGAGGATGTTAATCGACTTTTCGCATTTGACCACCGATGCCTTAGAAGCATCGCTCGTGTCTGGTGGGAACATCGGGTGAGCAATGACGAAATTAGTCGTGTGCTGGGTACTGACAGTCGTTCTCAATCGGAAGAAATCGTTCTACACCGCCTCCGATGGCTCGGTCATGTTTTGCGCATGCCTGCCCATCGACTACCTCAACTTACTCTCTTCGCACTTGCCGGGAAGGGCTGAAAGAAGCGCCGCGGCGGTCAAACCGTGACGTGGCGTACACGCATGAGCAAGTTGGTTGATGCAGCTCGCCTTCCAGGTTGGGGTCCAAGGGATGAGGAGTGCCGATGGCTAGAGACGCTGGGAGATATAGCTCAGAATAGATGTCCGTGTCCGATTGCTGTGCGGTTTGTTTGGCTAAACCCCGTTCTCCGTAACCAAAAAAATCTTCGAAAAGTTTACGTGAAACTACAAAAAAAATTTTCTTCATTTTTCATTCATTCTGCATGTTCTCTGCTTTCCCCATTGTCATCTAATCTTTCTGTACTCCTCTATCACTGCATCATCGTTGTTTTGCATTGGTATATATATATATATATATATATATATATATATATATATA